TGTGTATTCTCTGATTGGTTGTTTTAATGACTTTGTTTGATATTGGTTTTTGATCTATCACTTTTATATATTAATATTTACCTTATATTTATTGTCATAACATGTTTAAACATATTAGGATACTTTGTGAGAGTGGTTGGGAGAGATCGGGGTCAATTCTAAGAGGAGTGAGTTGGTAATAATGCCTAGGGAAAGGCCATAAATCCAAACACTTGAGGAATGTGACACGGTAGGTCAACACTTGACGGGTATCTTGTGGGTTTTTTTTGCATGTATCTTATTTTTATCTACCCTGTTTTTTATGGTGCCAAAGGGGAGAAACATCTCCTCTTTTGTGCACATAGTTAGGGGGAGAGAGCCTTATATCTATAAGTTAAATATTCACTTTTACTTGCTCTTGAATAACGGTTGTTTGTCATCATAAAAAAGAGGGAGATTGTTAGCCTTTTTGTTTTGATAATGATTTACAAACACCATTATTGGTGCCAATTGCTTGTTAAGCTATATTGTGTAGATTACAATTTATCCATCTTGTTAGCACCATTGTTGGAGGATTGGATGGAACAACAAGCTACAACGATGGTATCCAAGGAGGTGGAGCCAAAGTGGTGAAGCAAAGTTTTCAAAGAGCACAACATAAAAGAGAAGCTTCATCAATATAGTAGCAAATATCAAGACTCAAGCTATGTATTTATATGTGAGGGATATTTACATTTTTATTTCTCTCAAGTGCTTAATGTAGGCAAGTAGTATGATAGATTACATTTAAAGTTCTTAGGATAACACACACACACATTTTCAAAATTCATATTTTGATATTTTTACTAAACGTTGAGTTTTCAGAAATACGAGGTCCTTTTTGCAAAAATTTTCAAACAAGTTTGTTATTATATTTGAAAAGTTTTTCCAAAGTTTCATATTTTTTAGAATTTATTTACTATTTTTTAAAGGCCTTGAAAATTCATTTTTAAAAATCAAAACAGGCTGAAAATCTGTTATCAGTCGACTGATGCAAATGATCAGTCGACTGAAGAAACTAGTCAAAATCATCAAAAGTTTTTGTTTCTACGACTGACATTCTATCAATCGACTGATGACCAATCAATCGACTGATGACCATTCAGTCGATTGATGAGCTCTCCAGTCGATCGACGAGCTGCAAACCGCTTACAACAGTCAGTTCATCAGTCGACTGATGAACCCCGTCAGTCGACTGATAAGCTTCCAACGGCTAATTTTGTACAGTTTCTAGATTTCTCGGTTTTTGAACATTTTTGTCTATTTCTTTGGGGTTTGGCGGTTCTCTTGAATGCTTATAAATACCCACCAACCCCATTCACTTCAAAAAGTAAGCAAGCATTTAAAATCTCTTGAGTTTGTGTTTATTGTTTAAAAGAGCTTCAACTTTTAATTGTTTTCATACTTACAAATCCCACATCCCAAGCTTCAAATTGCAATCTCTTCATCTTGCCATAGAGCTATTGTAAGAGAGCTTATTTTTTTTCATTTGTAACGTGTGGAGAGCTTGATCTCGTGGAGATCTACTGTGTGGTTGTGAGATCTCAAGAGAATATCATTGTGAAGAAGTTCTGGCTTCCAAATCGGGTTGTGATAGTGAATTTCTCCTCAAGAGTGGGGAGCGGGGACGTAGGTTAGAGGACCGAACATCGTGAACACATCGCGTGTCATAATTGGCTAACTATTTCCTAACTCATCTCATTTATATTGTTTTAGCATTTAAATTTTGTGGTGTATTGCATTTTTTTTAATTGCACAATTATTACCTCGTAACCCTATTCACCCCCTCCCCTCTTCATTTTGAGTTATTTTCTAAAGTTCAGGGGGTAGTTTACGAAACCCAAAAGTTATAGGGGTTCTAAACTTTTAATGTTCACGGGAGTTTTATGCAACTCACCCAAAACTCAGGGGATTCTATGACAATATTTGTAATAAACATCAATAGAGAACCTAATAATTGAGGAGCTGGAAAGATCCAAATACATGAGGGGCTCACTAGTCCTATCAAAAAAAAAAAAGCGATCCATTAGAGTTTCCGCTCAAATGACTTCACTTCTTCTGTCTCACTCTCAGTGCACAGTACTTCTCTTGCGTACGACCTTCACCCGTGACCTCGTGAACCAACTCTACTCAAGCCCTCCGCTTCTCTATAAATTAATAACACCTCCTTCGTTGCTGCAGGCCAGAGAGAGAAGCACTTGGATGGCTTTGATGAGTGAATTTTTATCCATCTCCTTCATGATCTTTTTTTTTTCTCCTTCCTTCCTTTTTTGGAAGCTAGCTAGTTTTTCTCTGGCCTCCCTCTCACAAACTCAAACCATGAAAAGTGGATGGGCTTTTGGTGCCCGTGCCAAAGCAAGGAGAGCAATGGAGGCGAGCTACCTGTTTGAAGCTGTGGGCCTTGTCGTGAGCCGGGAAACGATGACCTTCGGATTGGGTGGTAACGGGAAGAAAATAAGTGACAACCAGTTTAAAGCTGGCACCATAATTAACTTGCAGATTCTTCTTAGTCGTAGCATGCACATATCTTGCACGTTGTGATCAAGGATCAAGATCTCTCATTTCATTACTATCATTTACTGCTACCGCTGATGAATATGGGTAGTGGATTGATGTGGCTTGCCAACCTGAATTTTTGATTCAGAAACTTTTCAATCTATCTTTTACTATTTTTCGGACGTTTACATTTTGTTTAAGGTAGTATCTTAAATATTACTTTGGGGACATTTTATTCTCATAGTTGAGATTTTTGTAATCTGACCCTTATTAATGAAACACGAAGGGCTTAATTATAACTACTGTCATTTTGAAAAAAAAACATGAGATGTTTAATTATTATATANTTACGCACCCTCCCAAACATGGAGGCCCCATTTGGCAAGGGATTAAGAAAAAAGGGAAGGACAAAATTAGTTAACTCTTCAAAAGAGGTTAAAAAGAATTTAATTCCGTTTGGATTTAATAGTCAAGATGAAGGCTTTTTTTTTTGTGTTTGGCAAATAAGGAAGAGCTAAGGAGGTTAGTTGTCATAAATTTCCTAAAATTAAGATTTTTTTTTTAAGTTTCATTTTTAGTTTCTAGAGAGAGTAACTCTTAACCCTCCTTTTTAGATGGATTTGTTAGCTCTTTCAAATGAGGGGTTAAATGACTTTAACCCTTATAAAGGGTGAACTCTTTGACCAAATTAACCTGTTTGGATGGTTAAAGAGGGGTTAAACCCCTTTAACCCCTCTCTTAACCCCTTGCCAAATGGGGTCAGTGAGTGTATTTATATTTATTACAATGAATCAATTACTTAATCTTTACAAATCTATACAAGGTAACTGGTTTTCCTGTTATCTAATCTTTCCTTGGTAAGCCTTTCTTGATGTCCAACCTTTGTGAAAATAATTGTGCATATAGGAGCAATAGTATAAATTATTAAGCTAGGAATTCAATAATGAGAGGATGCTCATTATCACAGTCTATTAATGTTGACTCATAATCTGACCAAGAATTGATCTAGCTATCAATGATTATAACAACGAAACAGATTAGTGTAAGGAGTTAATTATTTGTAATTTATTTTACATTTTTATATGTTTGTTAGACTTAATATAAAACTATAATCCTGGATCCTCAACGTAACTTTGAAGATTTGGTGGTGTAATATCTGGAGGGACTTAAGGCCAGTTTGATATTGTTGTAGCTTATAATAAGTTGCATATAAAAGTAGCTCATAGAAGCAACGTAATTATATAAGCTGTTGAAAATTGTTACTTGGTAATCAAATATAAAAACCTCTTTAAAAATGGCATTTGGTACAATTGTGTTAATTATTTGTAATTTACTTCACATTTTTATATGTTTGTTAGACTTAATATAAAACTTTAATCCTGGATCCTTAACGTAACTTTGGAGATTTGGTGGTGTAATATCTGGAGGGACTTAAGGCTAGTTTGATATTGTTGTAGCTTATAATAAGTTGCATATAAAAGTAGCTTATAAAAGCAACTTAATTATATAAGCTGTTGAAAATTGTTACTTGGTAATCAAATATGAAAACCTCTTTAAAAAAGGCATTTGGTATAATTGTGCTTAATGATCGTTATTTTTAATTTATATACCAGACTCAGGTTGCTTGGTAATCAAATATAAAAACCTCTTTAAAAAGGTATTTGGTATAATTGTGCTTAATGATCGTTATTTTTAATTTATTTAATTGTGCTTAATGATCATTATTTTTAATATATATATATATATATATATATATATATATATATATATATATATATATAAAACTCAGGTTGCTTCTAAAAGCACCTCCTTAAAAGTAGAATTAGTTTTATAAGCACACTAAAAAAATTTCACCAAACACTATTATTGGTTGCTTCTTGAAAAAAATAAGTAGAAGCAATATCATACTGGCCATTAATTTAAGATGATGTTAGAGCAACCCAGGTTCAAGTCCTATTGGCCATGAATTTAAAATATTTTTTTTAAAAAATTTGACACTACTACATAAGTCCAGGCTCCCACTCATAAAGAGGCCCTGAACCGGTGGTGGCATGTTAGAATTAATATAAAACTATAATCATCGACCATCCCTAAAACTTTTAAATTTTGATTTAGTGATCAGAGGGACATAACTTTGAGATGATATCAGAGCAATCTAGGTTCAAATCTTGCTAGCAACGAATTTAATACCGATTTTAAAAAAAATTGTTACGACTAAGTGAGTTCAAGATTTCAGCCCATGAAAAAGAACTTCAGCCAACATGTGAGGGGAAGTAATAAGAAAATGAAAAAGACCCATCATGTGAGGGGAAGTAATAAGAAAATGAAAAAGACCCATCATGTGAGGGGAAGTAATAAGAAAATGAAAAAGACCAAACATGTGAGGGATTCACATGTCTGAAGAACAAAGAGCCAATTCCTTTGCCATGTTATTCACAGGACTCAATTTCCTCCTTTCATCACTTTACTTGAGTGCAGAGTACGTCAGAAGCTCGCATGATGGCATTTTTTGGCCAATAACAATTGCAACACCACACTGCAGTAAATTTATTTGACCTCCAGCTATGAGTTGGTGAACCAATTAAAGTCGTGCATTCAAATCTAAGCTCTACACACAAGCTTTTGATTCTCTATTTATACAATCACCAACCAAGGGAAGAAGAGTAAGGGCAATAGAATCACATTTGTTAATCCTATTAATCCTATTCATGATTTTTCTTTAAGCTTCGTTAAACAAGTGTTCAACAAATCAGACTTCTGCCTTTGGGAACATAGATTTGGGCCCAAGATTTAAAATCCAGGGTATTTCAAATCCAATTCTCTAGTTTGGATTTTAAGTTGGGCTAACATTTCAAATCAAATTATTTTAGAGAGATGGATTTGAAAGCTCAAATACATGTATTTCAAATTCCATAATTCCCCTTGGTATTTATCAAACCCCGACTAGCCTCGCTTCTTTCTCTCGTTTCCAAGTCCCGATCTCTTCTCTCTCGACACAGGTAACCTCTATCTCTCCTCTCTCTCTCTCTCTCTCTCTCTCCCTCTCTCTCCTCCCTCCCCCTCCCCCTCTCCCCCTCTCCTCTCCCCCTATCGTCTAAACCCTTGATCGGATCTAGGGTTTAGGTCTCCCCTTTCTTCTCTCTCTCCCCTTTCCATCGAAACCTTAGATCTGATCAAGGTTTAGATCGTTCATGGTCATTTATGTTATTTGAACAATATTTTTAACCGATTATTTTTAATTTTTTGATGATTTCATTATGAATGCAATAAGGTTTGGTGATTTTGATGGATTCTTAGCTAATGCGAGCAAAGAGTGCATTTCTCATCACAAATGTACAATTTTTTTATTTTATTGAGAATTTTGTTCTTTTTATTTTATTGTGATTTTAATTTACTTTTAGATGAATTAACAAAGTACATGCAAAACTTATCATGGTCTCTTACTGCATTTACATATGTCATAAAGTATATCTATTTATCTGTTTTATTGGTTTGTCATCCATTAGTTATTGTGCTTGTATAATTAAATGACATTTCGTCGCAAATAACTTCTTCTCTTGGCTACTGATATAAGGCCTCTAGTTTTATGTATCCTCTTCTCTAGTTAAACTATATTACCGACTACTACCCGTTGCATTTTGTGATATTAGAGCCAGAGAAAGTAGTTCTTACTATATCAGTCCCTAGTCTTATTGCGGAAGTTCCAGAATTGTCTTTGGTATTTATCAATCCCCTGACAAGGCTCTCTTGTGTTTACCTCTTCATGGCATGAGGGCTGTCATGAGTTTATACTTGGATTGTTTGGTAGTAATTACACTGTACACTACCATATTGTTTTCTTAATTTAATCTACAATGAGTATGATATTGGAGTTTTGACCTTTGAAGCATCTTCTAACTTTTATACATAGTTACAAACATCACCATAACACCAACATATATATCTTTTCAGTTCTTTATCTCTAATGGTTCGGTCAAGGTATTTTTTCAGGTTCTGAATCTACTTCCATAGAAATTTTTTTCTTGTTTACTGATTCGTACACGTAGTTATACAAAGCATGCCTTGCAGTTTATCTTAATTTAATGTTCACAGGATTAAAACACAAAGCCACTTAGCCACATGTTGTGGGATAAACAAATTCATTTGTAACTAAAATTTATGTCTATATTCATTGCGTTCTAGTGGTGGTGGGGATTAAGTACTTAAGTTAGCCTTACATTGTTTTATTTCAGGCGATCATTGATCCCTGAGTAGCTAAAAAAATATTTTTCTATAAGCAGTGACGAAATTGAGGCCTATAGTAGAACTTTTTCATTGATAGTCTATATGGGTTTGTTTCTTTCCTCTTATTGAATGAAAACCTATATATAACAACTGCATTATTTCGCAAATAAGAAAAGTTTTGCTCTCAAATATGAGAGCTAACCTCTCATTTCTATATCTTGAGTTATTTTTTCTTAGGACTCCATTAACTTTGCATCCTGCTAAATATACATTCAGGATGTATGTTTAATCTGCTTGCATGTTCAACTTTTAATATGATAGGTTAAAAATGATAAATGATGGAAAGGATTCAATAATCCAACATAAACGTACAAGGAAAGAATTTGATAGGAGAGAGGAGGAGGAGGAAATTATTATGGTAGTGATCAGTTTTATAGTTGCTGTCATTGGTGCTTGGTTCTATACAAAGCACATGTTAAAGGAGAGTTCAAGAATACACGAAGAAGAGGATGAAAGGACATACCTTAGAAAGTCTTGGACTCGAACTCTTATTGCAATGCAAATAACTATGTTAAACAATTAAGAATAAATCCTCAAGCGTTTAAGAGGTTATGTGATGTTCTATGTACTAGAGGAGGATTAGTAGCATCAAGAAATATCACGATTGAAGAAAATTGTCGCTATGTTTTTGCATATTTTAGCTCATAATGTAAAAAATAGGACAAGCAAAACAGATTTTTATCATTCGAATGAAACAGTTAGTCGACAGTTCCACAAAGTACTTCAAGCAGTCATGAAGATAGGAAGCCTCTATATTGGACAAGAATAATGAGAGAGACATGGAGAAGTGGAAACGGTTTGAGGTAACTATGGCTTCTTTTATTAAGATTTTCATGTTTAATACTTTTTTTTATAGAACTAATTATAAGGTTGTGTAATTTTAAGATGCTATCAGGGCACTTGATGGGACTCATATCCAATTAACTATTCCTTTGGAAGACCAAAGTAGATATCGAAATAGAAAAGGAGAGACCAGTACAAATGTACTTGGTGTTTGTGATGCTAATTTGAGATTTTCATATGTGCTACAAGGTTGGGAGAGTTCAACTTTAGATTCTCGTGTTTTGCGTGATGATTTGCGCCAGCCCAATGGCTTAAAACTTTCCTCAAGTAGGAATATGATTTTTTAAATTATTATATATGTATTGCTTTCTAGTTTTTACATTGTTGTTGTAGGCGTCTAAAAATACCTATAAGTATCCACAAACAGCTCCAGATAGAGAGAAGGTTATGAACGCCATTATCTAAGTCTAAGAGGATTATCCAACGCCGATGAACACATGAAGCGAAGCGGCGAACCAAATAACATGTGCGCTCACCGGCCACCTCCAAGTGGCCCATGTACTCACCAGCCACCTCCAAGTGGCCCGCGTGCTCATCGGCCAGCTAAACAGCGAACCAAGAGGCCTCACGCCTGTCGGCCACTGTCAAGCTATCCATGCGTTCGCGAAACGAATCGGGAAAGTGTACAAGTCAACGAAATGACGAAATACGCGTAACGACGGAACAAGTCAAAACCCGAAAAACCAATAAAAGCCGTTGGCGGCCGAGTCACATCAAAACAACTTGGCCGAACCAGTGGTTCGGCCCAAAGCCAGATCACCAGAAGGTGACTCGGTGGCCGAGCCACCAGGTGACAGTTCGGCCAGAAATGTGATTTTTTGGTTTTGACGATTTTTCTTGGGATTTGTTTGTTCCTGAACGTTCCAACCGATCTGATACTATGGTTATTCAGTTCTTAACTGAAGATAGAGAAGAATCCCTTGTTCTTATCCAAATACCCACTCCCGAAGCTTATAAATAGAAGCTCGGGTGCTCATTCAAAAGGAGAGGAGATCAAGAGGACGAAGTGCTGCCGAATTGGAGAGTGGAGCCACGAATTTACAGCAAGGGTTAGCAGATCTTAGCTATCTCCTGTGCATAAAGAGTGGAGTTCGATAGATCTGAGACTCGTCCCCTATTCCTCCGGATTTAAGCTTGGTCTTAAATCCCGAGAAGAGCCGTGATTTTGCTTAGTCAAAATCACCGCTACTACAATTACTTCCTTTGTGAAGTGAGAGCATTAATTATCCAACTTCTGCTAACCGGATCTGATCCACGGCGGTCCACGGATATTAACGTCCCTGGCACAGGCAAAGAACCCACACAAGCAGCGGGTGATAAACGTCCGTTGCGCTGTTTGACAACAGTTGTAATCTTTATTTTTCATTCTTATAAAAATATCAACTTTTCTTTTCGTTTGAGTTTATTGTAATGACCAAAGTTGTAATAGATTCGATGACAATGAAAACATCAACTTTTGACCCAAACACAAGGGTTAGCAGATCTTAGCGATCTCATGTGCATAAAGAGTGGAGTTCGATAGATTTGAGACTCGTCCCCTATTTCTCCGGATTTAAGCTTGGTCTTAAATCCCGAGAAGAGCCGTGATTTTGCTTAGTCAAAATCACCGCTACTGCAATTACTTCCTTTGTGAAGTGAGAGCATTGATTATCCAACTTCTGCTAACCGGATCTGATCCACGGCGGTTCACGGATATTAACATCCCCGACACAGGCAATGAACCCACACAAGCAGCGGGTGATAAACGTTTGTTGTGCTGTTTGACAAGAGTTGTAATCTTTATTTTTCATTGTGTAAAGAAGATCTTATGAAAAGATCAACTTTTCTTTTCGTTTGAGTTTATTGTAATGACCAAAGTTGTAATAGATTCGATGACAATGAAAACATCAACTTTTGACCCAAACAAGCTGGCGACCACAGTGGGAGCCAACAGCTTCGCTGCCGAAGCTGTCGTGTCGTAACCACAAATCCAGATCCCGGTTTACGAAGAGGTCGAGTACGAGTTCGACCAACTGAAATTCGAGGAGTATCTGTCGTCCTCCTCCTCCAGATCCTCCGCCCCTCGCAAGCGCAGGAAGATCAAGGCCCCCGTTGCCGCTGCAACCCCGCCTTGTAATGCCCCTTTGTCCTCCAATGAACCCGGATCTACAGATCTGGACCTTTCCTCCACCAAGGAGTTAATTACAGAAGGCACGCCAACCCTATCAAAGAGGGCACACCAAAGACAACGCCAACGACTTGCGCGTCGACTCGATAAGGCTTTGGAGCCGGTTGACGGGATTCTCTACGAAGCGGATCTGAAGTCCAGAAGGTGCAAACCCCTTCAGCAGCAAATGAATGGCGTATCCTCCAAGCCAACAGTGAATAAATGGATCCAAGTCAAACGGACCCGCTCAACCCTCAAGGAGCGCATTCAGAAGCGTCATGCCTTGGTTGCGCACGCACAGATCCTCGTGCGAGAAGCACAGAAGCTGAAGCGGAAAGAAGTGGTCAAGAAGCCACCAAGATCACGCCGAGTCTGGAGGCCAAAGTCCAAATCGGCATAAAAAATAACCCAAACGGTGCCTGAAGGCATCGGAGAAACAAGAAGACTAATTGGTGGCTCGGCCAAATTCAAACCACCAAATGGTGGCTCGGCCAAGCTCAAACCACCAAATGGTGGCTCGGCCAAATTCAAACCACCAAATGGTGGCTCGGTCAAAGTCAAAGGCCAAAGTCAAACCACCAAACGGTGGTTTGAGCAAAACTCAGACTGGTTTGGTCCGTTTCACTGCTGATTCACTTCCTACAGTCCCGTCTGAGTTTCTGACGGCCCCTATTCATGTCCCGATGAATTCTACACTCCCAGTGATACCTCACGACCATGGAGACT